TTGATTTGACATGCTTTGCCTCTGGAGAAAAAATAAATTTGAACTTGCCATTTGAACTTGCCACAATGCCAAGTCCATAGAAATTATTATAAGATGAAAATTTTATTTTTAACATTTTCATTTATGAATTATAGCAGTATGGAACAAAGAAATAAACAAAATACTAATCTTCTTGCGTATTTTCATGTACGGTTTTTGTAGAAATCCTGCAAACTTTTTGGTGGAAATTGGTTTTGGTCCCTTACGTACTGTCGAAATACTTTTGAAATTTGTAAGAAATATATAGTAGGACATTTTCGAGATTTACTAAAGTGCATTTATTGCGTTTGTTTGACAGCACATAAATTAAACACCAACGACTGCAACGCGCATGCGCCAGGGCATCATAAGATTTAAGCTTAAACGAGCATTTATGTACATTTATGTATACTGGGTATTTAACGCCAAATCGGCAACTTTTAAACCTGACCTTTTTTGATTTGACTAACATTTTGATATTACCCCATTAAAAACGTTTCTGTGGAATTGTTCAAATTTTTTTACTCCACGGAAAATTAAAAAAATAATGATGCCCCCAAAGTGACAAAAAGCTAACTGAAACTAATAATCTCAAAACGAACATTCATAAAACTTATTGTAAAATATAAATCTGACAACCATTCTTTGTGTGTTTTCTTACTTAATATAACTTTCTATTTAAGTACCTTTTCCGATTAGACTATAGTTTAAGAATCTCGTGAATTGAAACCTAACCTCAACAAGTTTACAATGTTGTCAAGTGGGGCCAAAATGGTGTGATCGTCTATAGGCCCCACTTGACAACATTGTAAACATGTTGAGGTTAGGTTTCAATTCACGAGATTCTTAAAATCTTCCTGGGTTACTACTTTTTACTCGAGTGTAGGGTACTACCCCCTTAGTGCCCATCATAATAATTAGTTTTATTTAAATTATTATTTTTGTCTAGGTCTAGTCGAAGCTTTGACTAGAAAAAATTACGATAAAAAATAAGTCAATTTCCATAATTTCTAGGGTTACCTCAATTCTTCTTATGACTACATTAAAAAAAAATCAATATTATAATTTATTCGGAAATATTTTTATATTATTATAATACATATGTAACAATATACTCATTTATTTTGCTACAGGCTAATAAAGTCTGCTTGGGTGTAAATATGCTTGTTTTTATTATTCGTTGATTTATATTAAATTTATACCCAAACAAAGCACAGCCATACTAAGATACTCCATTATTTTTTATTTGATATCTGCAAACAGGGTTTCAAAGTGTGAATGCTCGATGACAAATATTTTGAATGCATCTAATAAAGGGCAAGTATATGAAAACGGAATGTTTTTTTACATAAAGTTTATAAAGCAGAAACGGGATCCACGCATCAGTTCCCAAATAAAACATGGGAAATTTCCAAGAATTGGTCCTCTGCCAAAGCAATTTATTTTTTCCATTTTCTACAATGTATGTATTGTATAAGTTGTAAGTTTATGTGAATGTGCTGTAACGTATCAAGTGTCTTAAGCAATTGGCACATCATCAATTGAAATGTATACAAAAAAAAGGAAATGGATAAAAAAAAATCTATAGTATTTTAGATGTTTAGGATTTCTATATAAAATATAAATATAAACCTGAGTGGGCCATATCTTACACTTTCTACAAGCGGGGTAAGTTGGAAAAAGATAATGAATGTCCCCAATAGTAACCTTCATTTTCTAATAGTTAAATAGTTAAGACGTTAATATATAGCCATTTTTGCAGACCATTGTGAGTCGTTACACTTCAGTTGGAATTTATAGCAACCATGGTTGTTTTTATTGCAAGGTTAGTTTTTGGCGATATTTTTTTTTTTGTTATATGGGGTGTTTATTTTTAATATGAATTTGAAAGTTAAATTTATTTACTATATTTTAAAGTAAATTTTGTGTTTGAGATCAACATTCATACCAATTAATAATTATTGAAATGGTTACAAAAACATCATCATAATTTATTTTTAAATAAAATTAGGCGTATTTTGGTTTAGTATAATACGAGCCCTAACCACATAATGTTCGGACACTTCATAATTTATACAGAAATTTTTTTCGTGAATACTATCTCAAAATTATTAGAAGTTATGAAAAATTCAGCTTATTTTGGCATATACCCCTCGAAGCGATTTTTATTTTTAAAAAGTTTACCTTTTATTTTTAGCTTTTAAAAAAAGGCTAACTTTTTAACTTTTTTTTGTATGAGTAAAAAAAGTTATAAATGGACCCATTAAAAAGAGCATAAAATATTATACAAACCCTGAAAATTTGGTAAAAAATAAATAAGTTATAAAAAAGTATAAGTAATTTAAAAATGCTATTTTTAAAGAGTTTTTGCAATTTTCTTAGGAAACGGGAGATTTTGCAGATATATATATCGCTATAACTTTCTTATTATTTATACAATTTTTACCAAATTTTCAGGGTTTGTATAATATTTTATGTTCTTTTTAATGGGCCCATTTATAACTTTTTTTACTCATGCAAAAAAAAGTTAAAAAGTTAGCCTTTTTTTAAAAGCTAAAAATAAAAGGTAAACTTTTTAAAAATAAAAATCGCTTCGAGGGGTATATGCCAAAATAAGCTGAATTTTTCATAACTTCTAATAATTTTGAGATAGTATTCACGAAAAAAATTTCTGTATTAATTATGAAGTGTCCGAACATTATGTGGTTAGGGCTCGTATTAGGTAAATACATAAGCTATTACAAAAAATAATTCACCCCTTCTCACCCCCTTTTTTAATTTATTTTTGTATGATGGTGTAGTGGTTATTTTAAAAATTTCAAACAATTTCTTTGCAGAAGCAAAAAAATATTTTGCAAAAATACCTCTACACTAGGGTGGTTCTTATTTAAGTGATGTCGAAATTTTAATCGTGCCGCCCCCTCATTTGTTTTTAAAAAGTATTAAAAAAATGTATGCCAAATTTGAATGTCCTAACTTATTTCCTTCTATTGCCTGTAACAACGGGAAGTTTTCCAGATATATCTGGAAAACTTCTATAGAGGATTTTTGTCTTTTATGTATTAATTTTTTAAAATCATTATTAACTAATGAAAAATTCTAATTTTTTAAGGAAATAAAGGGGAAATAAGGTACTTTTAAACAAAAACAAAAGAATTCATGTTTGTCCATCCTAAGGTCTTGTTTACTTCGCTCGATTATTACAGTTTTTCATATAGAGGATTTTTGCTTTAAAACGCAATAGTTTTATAAAATCATTAATAATTAATGAACAATTCTAATATTTTAAGAAAATGAAGGGAAAATATGGTACTTTTAAACAAACAAAAAAAATTCATCTATGTCCATAGTAAGGTCTTTTTTACTTCATTCAATCAATTACCATTATTGTTATTTTATTGAAAATGTCATAAAAAACAAGATATCACTGATGATTTGCATTTAATGCATGATTAGTGTGTTTTCAAACGTAATTTTGTACTTTTCTAATGTCGGTGCTACCTAATTATTTTTATGCAATCTTAAATTATTTGTTTTATACTTAAAACAAATAATTTAAGATTGCCTAAAAGATATTTAGGTTGCATCAACATTAGAAAAGTACAAAATTACAATTATGTAAATAATGAAATTAATTTTTAGATTATTTTCGAACAATTTATTTTTAAAGAAAGTAACATAGTTAAAATGGCAAAAATTAAGCAAAATAAAACCCAGATAATTAGGTTTTTGGTATTTAAAAAAAACAGTCTGTTTTTTTGCGTCGGGAAATGCTTTTCGAATCTCTGACACAAGCTGTACAACAAATTGTTTCTGGTCTTCATTGTGTGTTATGATGGAGTTATACTCGTCAAATAAATGCACAGCTCTTTCGGCAGCATCGTTAACGATTCTCAGCTCAGTTACAGTTTTTAAACCGTTTTGAAAATTTTCGTCCTGAAGCCACATAGTCGGATTGATTTTCAAAAAAGTGTCATCAATATCCCATCGTTGAAAGAATCTTCTTGTTTGTGGTGTTATAAAATATTCCATTTCTTTGCTGATCAAGGTATTAATGTCTTCAAAATTGATATAAATTTTCTTGACAGGGTTGAGAATAATGTCATCAGAACAATTTAACTTTTTCACCATTTTTTGCTTGATATCAACTGATAAAGTATTCTCAAAGAAAGCTAATGCACATGTTTCTGGGTTAAGGTACCACAGGTGATTTGAAAATTTCTTTAATGCGACTGTTGATAGCTCTTTATTTATTAATTAATACTAAGAAAGTTTTTTTAAAAATTCCAGATCATGGTAGGGCGCTCTTGGTGCAATAGAACAAGTAAACCAGGCTTCGATGTAGCATAAAACAATAAAAACGGCTGATCTATCGTTTTTAGACATATCGAACTGGTCACGAAAAATGAACATTTTTAAATTATAAATTGCCTTTGCCATAAAACGCGCATGGTGATAAGCTCCAGGAAGATTAAACGATATTTTATCAGATGGAGCACATCCTAAATAAATAACTTAATTCAAGAAGCTCTTTGTAATCGTTCCGATGTTGACGAGTCTCCAAAGTTAATCTCACAAATGCACTTATTCGGTCAATATCTTCAGATGTTACGAACTGTTTAACTTTATCATCTTCTAATCCACTCTTGTATTTGGCCTTATTAATATTCGGCCAATGTTGTTTGAAATTTTTAAAGAGTGGAATGTTCGGCCCAGTTGTCTCCGGTTGATTTTTTTCAAACACGCATCGTAATACCAGCTCGAAAATGTGATGTCTACATGGAAGAAATAAAATATCTCTCATTAATAGCCTTTCCAATAAAATGGCAGAGCCATTTCTAATGCCCATGTTGGATGCGGTGGTATCACAACAAATAGCTTCCACAGATTCTTCAAGTCCCCAGTCCTTTAAAACATTATACACTGCATCTGCTTGTGTTTTTCCTTTACTGTCCTCCAACGCCGGAACATGAAGAATTTTTTCAATATTTCCATTTGCCACTAGAATGGGTAAATTTTTCTCTTTTATTTACATCTTCCATGAGTTTTCCATCAGAGTGCAGGACAAGAGCCTTTAATTCCATGGTTTTAAAATATGTTTTAATTTTTATAGCCCTTGCATCACGAACTTTTTGTCTGGCTAATCGAACTGAGGACATATTTAAAGTTACGGTCTCGAGATCAATTCTCAAAGATTGCACTATTGCTGCAGCTAGATGAACAGCATCCCTGTTACTAACTTTGCTCTTATCTAGAGCTGCTACGACTTTTTCATCGTTAAAGATATTGATCATACCTCGGGATCTTTTCGCCGATGATGAAGCGGCTTCAGGTTGCTCATCAACACTTAATTGACTCAACCTTTCAGGAGTGCCTTTACTACTTGAAGCCAAGAACACCAGATTATCTACAATATATAATTCATATTAATAATAATATGAATAATAATTATATATTATTATACAAGACGATAAAATTATATTTAATTTCAGGAGGCGATAATGCAATTTTATCGTCGTGTTCAAGATTTTTTTCTATTTCCTAAATTCGACCGTTTTCTTTTCTATCAAATATGTACAATTATCCACTATTTTTAATAAATAAAATAAACAATTAACATTTACAGTAGAAAAGCAAATTTAATGTCAGTTTATAGCTAATATTAATTCAAAATAAAAACTTTTATTAACTAACCCTATTACTTTTTACTTCATTTTTTCTGTCTGTTTGCCTTTGTGATTGCATTTGTTTTTTCCTGATTTTTTGCTCCTCGTAGAGACTTTCGACGTTGTTGATAAATCCAACACGGCCATCTCGTTTCTGATTAAGATTAAGTCATTTAATATATTTCCATGAGAAATGTCAAATAAATTATTTATTTCTGAAACAAATTTCTCTTCTTTTGCTTTGTTGAATAGCTGTCCTTGGTTTTTTTTTCAAATTTCTATAATCTTCATGCAACTTAACGATTTTGTCCAAGCATCGCTATTCGTGTTGAATAGGAAGGCGAGCTTCGTTCCAAAAAGTTTGAATTTCTTTGAAAACCAATCCAGCACTTCCACGAACAGGTTGTCTTATATTTACTTGTTCTATTATATATAGTAAAACCTTAAGGACTTGACCATTTGAAGGCAATTTGTTTCCATAAATTTGTGCTTTAATATTGCCTATTAAAAATTTTCTTTTCGTAGATTCATGTCGTTTATTTTACTAATAATTACTAATAATTATTAAAAAATCATTACCACCACTTACGATTGTAATTTAGTTCATCTGACAGCTGTCAATAACAAGTCCAATGACAAGCATGGACTACTATGATTTTACAAAAAGAACCTAATAAATAATGCCATCATTTACTTTTCATGTTATACTTCTTTATAAGAAGCGGATCCTTAATGCCTAAATATTTTATTAGAATTTAAAAGTAATTATTTTACATTTCAAGACATTCTATTCATGCATTAAATGCAAATTATTACTGATATTTTGTTTTTTATGCCATTTTCAATAAAATACAATAATAGTAATAATTGAGGGAAGTAAAAAAGACTTTACGATGGACATACATGAATTCTTTTTTTTTTTTGTTTAAAAGTAACATATTTTCCCTTCATTTTCTTAAAAAAATTAAAATTGTTCATTAATTATTAATGTTTTATAAAATTATTGCGTTTTAAAGCAAAAATCCCCTATATGAAAAACTGTAAGTAATAATCTAGCGAAGTAAAAAAGACCTTAGAATGAAATTAAATGATTTCTTTTTGTTTTGTTTAAAAGTAACTTATGTCCTCTACATTTTCTCAAAAAATTATACTTTTCAATAGGTTAATAGTAATTTTAAAAAAATAATACAATAAAGGCAAAAATTCTCTATCTAGAAAACTTCTTGTTGTTACAGGCAATAGAAGGAAATAAGTTAGGACATTCAAATTTGGCATACATTTTTTTATATTTTTTAAAAACAAATGAGGGGGGGCACAATTAAAATTTCGACATCGGTCAAATAAGAACCACCCTACTCTACACGTACACATACGTATATACTATGTGTTTAACAAATCCTAAGCATATTAACACTATATATAGGTTTATACAGCGTGTCCCAAGTTTTAGTTGCAGGATTTGACCAGTGGATGTAAAAAGCTATTTTTACTAAAAAAAAATCCTATAAACCTGTGTCCAAATAAGTATAAGTATTTTGAGATACAGGGTGTTAAAAATATACATATAAAATATAAATAATTTAAATTTTGAATGGATTTATATCTAAAGGAAATACAATATTTAAAGTTTTTTATTTTAATGTTTTAATATTATATATACCTGGCGACTATTTTTTTCCGATCATGACAATTTGTCATTGGAGAGTCAAAAATACCAAACATTATATTGCAATAGATTTGGTTAGGTTTGCTTACATAATTTCTTGGTTATGGAATCTATACTGATTTTAAACAAAACCCTTTTGGTAACTCTAATGATGTATGATGAGTATCAGTGGCGGCTCGTCAGGGTAGGCCTCTGAGGCCGCGCCTCACCCTAAAAATGAAGGAACGAACGACTTTTTGTATTTATATTTTTGCCTATTAGAAGTGTATTTTTTCAACAGTTCTACCCAATAAAAAGTAAAAAACCAATCAATCATACTAAGCGTAAATAAAAATCCAGGCGCAAAGCGCATCAAGGTAACGTGCATTGTTGAGAGTCGCTAGGACAGAGGCGAAATTTTCAAAGCCTCGGAAGCTCCCATTTACATCTAGAAAGCGAAACTGACACCAACAAAAATATTGCCGTAAGTTCGCGAATAAATACCGTAGATTCAGTCGTAGATGAGGCAAAATTTAGTTAGCTTGGCTTGTTCTGATTGGTGCTTTTATCAAATGACCGATGATAATCGCTTGTGGGAGTTCGTCTATGATGTGATGCCAGTGTTCTCTTAGCGTTTGAGAGCACGTTATTGTTTTGATTCTGATTAAATTATTTAAAACTTTTGGCTGATCTTTTATAGTTTTTGTCTCGATTAGTAAAATTTCTTATTTAATTACTGTAGGGAACACACTAAGGTAGATTTAGCAGTTTTTATTAAGCAAATTTTATATTTTGAAATAATATAGTGCATAAATCTTTAATTAGAGACGCGGTTTGAAAATTTAGAATTACTTTCAAATCTCACTGATAGACGTATAGATTTAATTTACAAAAAGTAGCTATAGTATTTTATATTTTTTAATACTTAGGTAGGGGTCGAGTTTTTAGTTTTATTTTTATTTTTTGATTAATTTATTTATTTTTAACTTTTTTACGAATATATTTTTAAGTTTTAAGATTAAAACTAGTCTTTCATGTGATATTTTGTTTGTTTTGATTTTTAGACTTTATTTTTTATTTATAATGGTTTAGTAGGGCTATCGGCGATGACCTCCATTTTAAAAAAGGTCAACGCGTCGCAGAATAATACCTCCCGGGTGCGTATTGGCATTGTGTACTACGATACAGAGCCATAGTGTTCTGAATCGCAGTAAGGATTGACAAAATTAAACGCCACTAAGTACAATACAATCCATACTACGATTCAGCACATCTCCCAGTTTGTGATGTTCTGAATCATAGTAGAGAATGGTGTAGGGTATGTGCGACCGCAGCAGGCCATACTTTACTACGATTCAGAAAATAGTATTCTAATTTGAATTGTAGTTGGATAGCTTACCTACAAATACGCTAGCTGCACGCCTTATCAATAAAAAGCAAATTATTATTTTTAATTGGAATTTATTTATTAATAAAAAAACTCTCTGCAGTTTTAATAATAAATATACATTAACCCAAAGGAAAAAAATCATTTCAAACTTATTAACAAAAAGATCGTTTTACCCAAAAATTTTGCAAGTATCAGATATAAACGTACCACAACGGATTTAAATAATATTTGAAATAGTTAATAGGCTTTTTTTTTCTACATTTACATAAAACTATTAATTTTGCAAAAACATAAACATAAAATATACATAAATAAGAAATTTTATTTTATTGTATTGTATTGTATTATATTATATTTTGTATTGTGTTGTTTTCTTTAATAGACACCAAATAAAAATACATAGATTATTCTTGATATAATAATTTAAAGTTATATTTTTTATTTTTTAAATATATAAAATCCTTTGCTTTTTTCTGTTATATTTAAGAAAAAAAAATAGAAAAATGAGGGCATTAACTACTAAAATTCTTATAAAAATCTATTAAGGATTGTCGATGATAAAGCCAAATAAAATTTTAGGGTAAAACGATCTTTAAGTTAATTAACTTGAAAAATCGATAATAAAAAATAAATATTGTCACCCATAATATAACTAGTGGTATGATTATCATCGATGATATTTTCGAATTGAAACCGAGCTGCAGATTTCACGAGTCCGCAGGACGAGTGAAATGTGCTGCTTCGGTTTTAATGAGTAAATATCATCGATAATTAATCATACCATGAGTTATATTTAGTGAGAAAATATAATGAATTTTAGGATTTAACGAATTTTTAGTTTGACATTTGAAATTAAAATGTGCTTTAAAATATAAAAAGACTTTAATAAACCTTATTTATTCAAACTTACCTTAACTTTATTATCGTTTACACCAACCCATCGATCTTTTAAAGTTTATAATTCATTATTTTAATCATTTAGGTAACAAACACAGTATTTAAATGACAACAAATGTCAAATCAAAAAAACGTCAAAGTTCATAGTAACGTGTAAACAAGATGATAAAAATTATTGCCGCTGTGATAAAATACGTCACTATGGAATACTGGCATTTTATTGGTTCTAATATTAATGAATTATATTGTCAGTAAGATTTTTTGTTGGGTATGTTTCACTACTATCAATTAATTTCTAACTATTCTATAACTCTGGCTTATTACTTTATGCGTGCGGCACATAGCCAATATTTTCTGAATCGCAGTAAAGTATGGCCTGCTGCATTCGCGCAAACACTTCAACATTCTCTACTATGATTCAGAACATCACAAACTGGGAGATGTGCTGAATCGTAGTATGGATTGTATTGTACTTAGTGGCGTTTAATTTTGTCAATCCTTACTGCGATTCAGAACACTATGGCTCTGTATCGTAGTACACAATGCCAATACGCCTCCCGGGTGGCGTATTGGCATTGTGTACTACGATACAGAGCCATAGTGTTCTGAATCGCAGTAAGGATTGACAAAATTAAACGCCACTAAGTACAATACAATCCATACTACGATTCAGCACATCTCCCAGTTTGTGATGTTCTGAATCATAGTAGAGAATGGTGTAGGGTATGCGCGACCGCAGCAGGCCATACTTTACTACGATTCAGAAAATAGTATTCTAATTTGAATTGTAGTTGGATAGCTTACCTACA